TACCCGTTCCCTTAACCGCCTCGACCACCACCTTCGCCGCTTTCTCCGGATCACCCTGCTGGTTGTGGTTGGCAGCCGCACACCCAGCAACCACCAGACCCCGGAGCTCTTCATACTCCGGCAGGGGACGAGGCGCCCGGCTGTGAAAGTTTCCAGGGTTCATGACCTCTGTGCGGTAGTAACCATAGGTGAGTAGCGAAGTGCGAATGCCGAATGCCGCCAGCTCCAGAGCCAGGTTGGGCACCACCACCTCCAGGAGACCCTTGCCGCCTGTGTAGCATGATGCACCAGGCGCACCGTAGTAGACTCCGACGCTGCTAGTGAACAGCACGGTTCCAGATTTTTGTGCACGCATGAGGGGCAGGAAGGCGCGGGATACGTTGAGGGGACCGAAGGCGTTGGTGCGGAGGGCGTCAATCAGGAAAGGCTCGCTGGGAATTTATAAGTGGGGGTTCAATACAGCATACGAGGAGTGGAGGGAGAGGGGCAAGCTAACGTGATTTCTTCGACAATACCAGCGTCAATGTATCCAGCGTTGTTCACTAGGACATCGACTTTGCCATAGATCCCCCAGATCTCGCGTGCCTTGGCATCCAATTCTTCTTGGGGCCCGCTCACGTCGAGCTCGAAAACTGCGGCTCCGGCTTCTTTGAGGGCCGAGAGACGGTCGGCGCCGCTGACATTGTTGCGGGCGCGAGCAGTGGCGATGACTTTGTCGCCCTGGTCATTGTTTGTCCCTCATTAGTACAGTTGTAGGGAAAAGGTTGGTGGGGTGGGTGCTCACCTGGGCGAGGATGGCGCGGACTAGGGCTTCGCCGATGCCGGAGGAGCAGCCGGTGACGACCCAGGTAAGAGGTTGGCTGGACATTGTATGAGTATGGTATGTGTCTGAAATCTAGTATTTAGAAAAGAGGGACGGAGATGTAACTGAGGTTAGAGAGAGCAGCAGAAAGGAATCAAGGAGGGGGAGAAGAGCAAAGATAATAAGTGGGGGAGAAATGTCAGTGTCCGCTTCTTCCGTTGTTTGTGTTTTGGACCCCACGCAGCAAAGCCTCGCTCTCTCGCACTAAGCATTGACTAGTAATGTTTAGTGTGACACTTGTATCGCCAGTCACCAGTGATCTGCAGGGGGCCATAAAATCTTGTCTCAATGATATTTAGTGCTTACTGTCTGTCAGCCTACAAGGCTACGAGGTTTCCTGGGACCCACTTCGCCTGGTAGTGTAACACAGTAGATACTAGATACAATACCTTCTTAGTTATTTATCGCCCCCGCCTGCTCCATCAATTCAAGTTTACCCCTCAATCATTCCACAATCTGTTAATTCTCTCCTGCCATATCATAACTGGATCGGACACCGCCACCTGCCCCCAAACCACTATCCAAACTCTCAATTGCCTTGGTTTTCCAAGATGTCCTGGACACAAGTCTCCCCGAACCGATACGAGCGTCCCTTCGACTCCATCGAGTCATTCTACCGCATTGTTGCTGCCGCCGGTGCTCCGCTCAACAAAGAACACTACCTAATTACTTGCACTCTCCAGCTGCAACCGCCTCTGCCTCCCACCAGTGCAATTGAGCAAGCCTGGAAAGCTCTTCGCCATGTCTACCCTCAATTGGCCGCTGAACCCGAGGCAGACGGCAACGGCAGCGAGCGCTTCGTTTATGAAGCCATCACCTCTACTACTCAACTCGATGCGTGGGCCCAAGAGACCTTCCACATCGACACCAATCGAACTGCCAATGACCTCTACGAGCAGCTAACTCCATCACCACGCGTCCATCTCTACTACCTCCCCAATACATCCGAGGTAGTCTTCCGCACCCCCCATTGGCGCATCGACGGCATCGGCCTACATCACATGCAATCCGCCTTCCTGCAACTCCTCGCAGACGGTACCATTCATCCCATCGACGGGGTCGAACACTCTCGTCTCTGTCCCGCCGTGGACCAAGCCATATCAGACTCCAATCTCCCCAACACAAGCACCCCCCTAGACGAATCCGCCGCCACGGCAGCCTCAAACCGCGAACTCCAACCCTGCCTCACCCAAACCGACAATGGAAACCTCATGCTTCCCACTCTCCCCAACGTCCTCCCCACCAACCCCAGACGCATCCTCCGCCACATCGACAGCGCAACCACCACCCGTCTCCTGGAAGCCTGTTCCACCCACAATATCACCATCACAGCCGCCACCCACGCTGCTCTCGCCCTAACCGGCCTGCAATTCGCCCTCCACCCAGAAAGCAAGCCCGACTATGTCGGCTTCAACCCCCTCGATCTGCGTCGCTACCTCCCCGAGCCGTGGAACGGCCCTGCTGCCGCCGTCTCGCTCTACCACACTGGTCTTCCTTTCCGCATGCCACTCTACCCAACACAGGTGGAGAAGCATGAAGAATTCCTTCGCCTCGCGCGGGAATTCACCTCCCTCTACCGGAGAAATCTGGCCAAGGAGGCCCCGCAGAATATCTTCGACTTCCTGCCTACGTATGTGGGACGAGTTATGCAGGTCTTGGGCGCTGCGCCGCCGGATCCGTTGCTTGCGCCGGCGCATCCGGAGCTGAGTTCTATGGGACGGGTGAATGAGTTGCTTAAGTCAGAGGTGGAGGGTAAGGAGAGGAAGGTCAAGGTAGAGGAGTGGTGGGTGGCTATCGAGGTTATTAATCGGTTGTTGTTGACGCAGGTGTGGACGTTCAACGGGGAGTTAGTGCTATCGGTGCATTGGAATGAGGCGTTTTATGAGAGAAGTTTTGTTGAGGGGTTGTTTGAAAGGTGGAGGGAGGTGTTGGTTGAAGGGTTGTTGGAGTAGTGTTCTTTGCGGCGTGGATAGCGGTAGATTGAGGGGAGTTTGAAATCTACTAGAATGTGTGACAAACAGAAAATTGTATATATTATTACCCAAAACAAGTTGGCATGACCTTATATTCTGCTCTGAAACTGTACAACTGGTCCTTCATGCGAACTGGTAAACACATCGCGTGTCTGGAACTCATCTCTCCGGTTCCTTCCCCATGCTGCATCCCCCTTTTTCTTGTTCCCCTCCTCCTTATGAACGGAATACAACCGCATATCAAACAACCACAACAGCCTAGCCAGAATAATCCCCATCTCCTGGTACGCAAGGTACTTACCCACGCAACTTGTCCGTCCCGCCCCGAACGGCGCATACGCCGTGACACCTCCATCCTCAGCATCCACTCCCAGCCAGCGTTCCGGCCTGAACGCATGAGGATCAACCCAGTACCGACCATCCCTCTGCAAGGCATACATGGGCACCCCGACATCCGTTCCCTCCGGCACAAAGCACTTTCGATCAGCACCACCACTATCCTTATCATCCATTACCCTAACCACCAACCCCCCCTCTAGCACCTGGCGCGGCAGAACCGAACTAACAGGTGGATTCAGCCTCAGTGCCTCATTTACACAAGCATACAGAAACCCACAGCCCGCCAGAGCAGGTCCAATCCGAATATCTTCGACATTCTCAAAAGCAGCACGAACCTCGGTCTGCGCGCGGACATACGCCTCCTCATTATGCAGCAGATAGAACAAAGTGGCAGTGATAGTTGTCGCTGTAGTATCAGTACCGGCAATAATCAAAAAGCCCGCTTCGGCAATCAAATCGCGCGGAGTATAGCCCTGGCCCGAGTGTGGGTCGCGGGCGTCTAGGAGCGAGGCGAAGAGGTCCCGGTGCGGCAAGGTATCGGGGGGCTGAGCGGCGCGCCAAGAGGACTGTTCTTCGGAAAGGTGGAAGAATTGCTGCACGCCGCGGGTCAAAGTGGGGAAGCAGAGACGGTCCAGGTTGAGTTGGAGTAGGGTGGGCATGTGGCCTGCTAGGTTTATGCCGCGGGTGCCTTGGGCCATTAGGGATAGGATGTGGCGGTTACGTGGGCTGGATTGCATGTTCCAGTGGCGGGAGAAGGTCACGTCGCCCATGATGTCGCTGAGGAGGCATTTGACTGTTGTAGTGAGATCGTGGGGCCGGCCCCAGGTGGAGGAGGGATCCTTTTCGGTAGTTGGATCCTCATTGTTCTTCGATAGGTAGGGATCCGCTGAGATCGTCAGGGCGGTGCACAGGGCGCGCACGTTCTGCAGGATCAGCTCTTCAAGATCCTGCACGGCACGTGGATTCAGTGCTCGGCTGGTGACGCGCCGCTTGAAAGCATGGGCTTTTCGATCGATGGTGGTTAGGCTGGCGGGGACGGTGAAGAAGTGGGTAAAGGCGCTGTAGACGGCTGACTTTTGCGTGTTGGCTTGGCTCCCGTAGATGTCAGCCAGCGCAGTTGCCGAGCGGAATGACACGCGATTGGGGCCATATCGCACGGCTGATCCGTACTTCTCGTGCAGTCGGTAGAAGTCTAGGTGTCGATCGCCCGTGAAGCAGTAGTAGATGTTGTACCAGTCTGTGGCGGCGGCCAGCCAGGGTCCTGGGTAGCTGGCCAATGGATGCAAGGTCAAGCGGTAGATAATCACGGCAAAGAGTGTTTCAAGGATAAGGTCCACAAGGGGCCATGTGCGAAGGTGATAGCCGAGTGTCAACGCAAGCAGCGTCAATAGCGCTGCGGCCTTGGTGTTGGCAATGGGCATGGCTGAGGGCGTGATGACAATACTGTGGACGACAGTGGATGGACTGTGTTGAGAGGGGCAAGCCGGCTTCTTTTCATACTCTCGCCCCAGGTTGATCAAGCTGACCTTGAGTATGAAGGGACATATGCACAGCCAATATATGCTATACTTGGTGATGATCTGACAGATGCAGCCTCAAATGCAGCAATGTGTAGGCTGATACCCAATACCCGGTGTGACAGTACCTGACATACATCAATACACCGACCCACCGGTATTCAGCTGTATTGCATCGGCCCCCATCTGCATAAGTTGCTTGGTCAGTTGCTTAGCGTTATAACATTAGTTGTTATCAGACAGCGTCTGGCCTGATGCTCAAACTGCGGTCATCATTTAGCCCCATGGGGGCTGTTTCTTCATGGGGGCTGGCTGTTGCAGGAACTCCGCCTCGCAGGATCCTCGTATTCCAAGTCCATACTCCGCCTTTTCTCCAGGCCTGATCCTGCCATCCACTCCCCCATTCCTCTCTTTTGTGTACTTTCTCCTTGGTTGTTCTCGGTGGCTCTGGAAGACAACACTACTGAACTCTGCCAAAATGTCAAGTCTAACAGCAGCTCAAATCACGGCAATGGAAGCCAATCCGGGTGCGACCCGTGCTCCCGGAATCATTGCCTGCGCATCAATCACGATGGCCGCCAGCGCTGCAGGCGTTATCCTGCGAGTGATAGCCCGATCTATCACGTCGATGCGGTTAGGTCTCGACGACTACTTTATCATAGTGGCATTGGTAAGGCCCATTAGGCTTGACGGGACAGTGAGTTCGGAGAACTCAAGCTCACCTTTTCTGGCTGGTAGTTCTTCAACGTTGCATTCAACGTCTCAATCTACATAACCATCCACTTTGGCATGGGAAAGCACATTGTCTATGTAACCGATGCGAAGGGTCTAACATTGGTGAGCTAAACTAAATTCTATTACCCACCCCACCCTCACACAACGCTAATATACAGACACACAGTCCATAACCATCGCCGAGTGCTTCTACTGTCTCGCCATCTGCTTCACCAAGCTCTCCATTCTAACATTCTACGGTCGGATCTTCCCACAGCGATGGTTCCGCCTCATGACCTGGTTCATGGCCTTCGTCGTGGTTGCGTATAACTTCTGCAGCGTGCTCGCCACCTGGCTACAATGTGTTCCTCTCTCTCACGCCTGGGATCCTTCCGTACCCGCCACCTGCATAGATTACTACGCCGTCGTGGTATTCAGCGGCGTGACAAACGTCGTCACTGACTTTATCATCCTGAGCATGCCCCTCTCTGTTATCCATCAACTACACATGAGCAGTCGCAAGAAACGCATGCTGGCATCCGTCTTTGCTCTTGGATTTGGGTCCGTTCTTTCCCATCCCACCAAAGAGTATGACACTAATCTTATACAACATCAGAACCTGCATCGCCTCCATCCTCCGTTGCATCGAAGCTCAAGCCCTCAACTCCACCGACTCCAGCTGGGACCTGCAAGGCGCCATCGACTGCACCTCCGTCGAGATATGCGTCGCCATGATAACGGCCTGCATGCCCTCCATGCGCCCGCTGGTCTCGAAGATATTCAAGTCGAACGCTACCCAGGCAAACTCGAAGATGGACCCCACGGTTGGGACTTATAAAATGTCGACGCAGAAGGGGACGCGCAGTCGGGCGGACCGCGGTTGGTCGGCGATCGATCATGAGGAGACACAGAGGCTCCCGGAGGAAAGGTCCGCCGATGAACTTTCGTTGGGGAGTTTGAAGCAAGCGTACCGTGCTGATGTAAGGCAGGCGGTGTGATGGCTGTCACTTTTTATTATTTTCCTTTTGTTTTTGTTGTATTATTGGCGTGTCGGAAAGGAGAACGTTGGATGTATATAGGATAATCGGGGCGCATCTTGGGGTTGTTTTGGTGTATCTGATAGTTTGAACGGCGTTAGGTTTGGATGTATAATACCTTGATGACTTATAAAGCTTTTTATATATAGGTACAGAAGAGGTCGTTAGCAAATCTTGGAAAAATCCGCAGATTTGTGTGAAAGCTGAGTCCAAACAAACAGTAGCGCGTTATCACGCCACTATGTCCGGACTTTGTGCAAGAATGTGAGATATCACGCCAAACCGTGTCTCACTTCGAGCGACCTGCGTTCTGTTGGAGATATTATCTTTCAAAAGTCTCTGTTGGCAGTATATACCCAGATCTTATTCAAGCAATAAGTTAATCAACACAGAAAGTTTGTCTGTATGACTCTAATCTGACCACCACCACCCTCTGATCAAAAGCGGGGCCGAGCGCAGCCGATGATGCAGCATTATAAGGGACGTTATTACACCTCAACTTTTGAGCCTCACCGGCCTAGATTTGTTTATCTTTACTTTCTGCATTTCATAGATACGATAGTTTGCATTCCTCGTGATATTCCATGGATCCTGTTCCGAGCCCTATAAAAGCTGCGTCATACAACACGTGTATATATAACTTTTGGAGATGTATAGTGATATTCTATATCTCCAAAGTTTGCTACCAACTTTACCAAGTCAAAGTAGAGCAAGTGTGAAGAGATATTCTCATTCTCTTATCATCGTCCGCCATATTTAGGCTTCAGTTTCCACTGGTCTGTTCTTAATGATCAAGCACTGGGTTGCAGTATACAGTACGGCTGACTGACCTCATTGAAGTCCTGACAGTAAGGGCTTAATAAAAAAATGTTTCCAACCGTCTAAAGGATATTAGAACGAATCAACTGTTGTGGAAAGTAATGTCCGACTCCACCGGCATTGCGTGCATTGACTTCAAAATATATGGTGGATACTGAAGATTAGGCGGAGCAGCCAATCAGCAATGTCGCAACCGTCTCCCGAAAGGGTATAGCCTACTTACATTCAATATGGATTGATGATCTGTCTCGTAAATGCCGAGAAGAAACTCGAAGCGGAATTGCAATAGAGCGTCCTTATTGGTATGTTTCTCTTGGCGCTGTGATCCCCACATCCTGCCAAGAGCATAGGCATATATAAGTAGTAAGCACAATGCCTTCGGAGAATCCCAGACTAGACAGAATGGCCTTGTTCCTTGATCTTTTGGACACTGTAAAGGAGAAAGGCCCTCTCCTGGCAGCTGCCGGAATCAGTGCCCATGTTTTCTACTGGTCACGCGGAGAACGCGGCGCCAAGGAGGGCCGTGCTTGGGTCTATGCGAATCTGATCGTGAATACCCTAGCCCTATTGACGACAGTCAACAACCATGGAAGGTGGACAAGCATCTATGCGTGGCTTCTAGGCATCGGTACTGTGTCCATACTAAACATCTGCTTTTATGTCTCCCTCTTCGCCTCGATCCTAACCTACCGCGCCTTCTTCCATCGTCTACATCACTTCTCAGGCCCATTCTCTCTCAAGCTCTCCAAATTCGTAACCGGATACGAGAACCTCGAGAAAAACCGAAACTTCGAACGGGTATGGAACCTACACAGACAGTACGGGGATATTGTCCGAACAGGGCCCCAGGAACTTAGCATCCTGTCGGCTGAAGCCATCGATGTCATCTATGGACCTTCAAGCAAATGTACCCGTGGCCCGTGGTATGATCGTCTAAAGGGTTCGGGTGACTTCACGCATGACTATGCCGTGTTTCATATGCGTGATCCGGCCGTGCACTCGCAGCGGAGGAAGGCTCTTTGGGATAAGGTGTTTAGTGGAAGAGGTTGGTGATCATGTCCTCCTGGATGTGTTACATCGTGCTCACTGAATCAACAGCACTGAAATCCTACCAACCAATGGTCATCCGCACGACGGAAAGGTTCCTCGACGCTTTGGCGCACCGTGTCAACCAACCTCTTTCTGTCCCCAGTACCATGTCACTCCTCAGCTACGATATCATGGGAGTCGTAGGCTGGGGCTATTCCTTCAATAATATCGAGACTTGGGAGTTGAACCCTAGTCTGAGCTTCGTCAAGAACATGCGGAATGGCCAGCATGTCATGGTACATACGCCGTGGCTTATCAGCTTGTTGATGAGCCTGCCCGGTGCTGGTAGTGCTATTCGAGAGTATGGAAATTGGATCCAGGATCGTATCCAGGAGAAGCGGAAGCAAGAAGAAATAAATGAAGTGCCTGGGGAGGACATTATGACGAGGATGCTGCCGTCCATGCGCGACTTATCTAAGAAGGCGTTGTATAGTGAGGGAGAGCTGCTTGTTATTGCTGGAGGGTGAGTCACACTACCAATCATTGAATTTGTCATTGACATCTAACTGATGAACTACGAACAGAGACACCAGCTCCGTCACAATGAGTGTCATAATCTACCACCTGGCCCTCAACCCGTCCATCCAACGAAAGCTCCAAGCCGAACTCGACTCCACAGCAGTAAAACGCCAAACAGACCCAGCACCGTCCACCGAATCCCCCGAAGACATCTACTACCGCTCCATATCCTCCCTCCCCTACCTAAACGCCTGTGTCAGCGAAGCCCTCCGCATACAGCCACCAGTGCACGGTGGCATCCAGCGCAAGACACCACCAGAAGGCATCCACATTCCCAATGATAAGGGAGCCTCTACGTTCATTCCGGGGGATACAATAGTCAGTGTGCCGATTCTACCCGTCCAGAACGATCCGCGGTACTATCGAAGCCCCGAAGAGTTCATCCCCGAGCGCTGGACGGACGAGAAGCCAGATTGGATTATGAATAAAGCGGCATATTTCCCGTTTGTGGGTGGTGCGTATAGTTGTGTTGGGAAGGGGTTAGCGTATATTGAGTTGAGGGTTGTGGTGGCTATGCTGTTTGGGAGGTTTGATGTGCGGTTGGCGGAAGGGGAGGATGGAAGGAGGTTCAGGGAGGAGACGAGGGATACATTTGTCGCGAATTTAGGAGAGTTGAAGGTTGTGTTTAGTGAGAGGAGGTAGTAGGGGTCTTCTGTAGGCTGTTTTGGATGACGGTACGTCTTTGTTTCCTGTTTGTATGTAGTTAGGTATGGAAGAGCGCGGGGCAGTTTTGAACTCTTCAAAATTAGAATGTAGTGTATTCAAGATATATATATTTTTGATCTGTTCATATCTGCGTATTCACATTCACTTCAATATGGTGAGAGAAAGCAAAAATGACGGCAATGAAAATCAAATGTAAGGAATTCCCAAATTTGCTATGATATATATGCATATGGGCCAGAAGTAGGATTATCACATTTCTCAAATGCCCAACATCCAGGAATGGAAACACCCAAAAAACAAAAAGAAAAAGAGAGAGAGAGAGAGAGAAATAGGAAACTACAAGCGAATGTACTAGTGAATAACATCAAATATAACCTTAAAACTCATCAAAATCGATAAGCTCAGAACATGAAAGAGGATTGAAGAAACTTATGTATAACAAGAAACCCTGGAAAACCAAGCCTTTATTTTTTTCTTGGGCTGACTGGGCGCTGAAATAGACACATAACGGGGAGAAACAATGGCCGCTAAGAACAGTTTATCCGATGGAAGTCACGGGCTAACAGTCTCCGATTCGCCCATCCGGTGGAGTTTAAATGGATCTAGTACGCGCCTAAGATCCCGCAATAGCGTCACAATAACCACTGAAATGAACCCACGTATAATCCACGGACAGGGGTGGGATATAGCGTGGCTGGAAACCCTGAAATTGCGGTTTCGCCCACCTTTTTAGCTCGAAAATGCTACGCTTCTACATTATTTCCACTATGGCATCAAATTCGAACACAATAAGATGTATCCTTCAATGACAGGGTTTCGAGCAAGGGTCCGTCAGAAATTGGAGGCATTCCGAGGGGGAAAGCCGAGAAAGCAAAGCACTCAGGTTGAAGGTCCTCACACGAAGAATGATTCAATTTCCCCGACTCAAGGGGAATCTGAATATCATGACACTGCAAGAATTGTGGAAGAGAATGGGCATGTCCCTCCTAGCGGGGCCACCCAACAAGAAAAGCCAGAAGCAAACGAACACGCTCTTCATCATCTTAACCAGAAGGTGACCTCGACAGAATGTTTGACCACCATCCACAATACTCTTTGGAACAAAGCCTACAACAATCTAATGCAGGATCCAAAAAAGGCAAAGTATGTGCAAGCATACGAAAAATTGGTGTTGGCGGTCTTTCTCGAAACGCCCATCTTTGATGTAGCTGGTGAAGGTATTAGTCCTCGCTTAGATTTGGGAGAAGAACGAATGCGAGCAATAGTCGCAAGGGCCCTGGAAAGGGTTGAAGATAATAAAAATGTTATCGAGACAATGAATGATGTTTCCGGTGTTTTAACGCAAGTAAAGGCATTCCTTGACATTCCGTTACAAAGCATCCCACAGACCGCGCTTCCGTGGGCAGTGATTTGTTCCACAATTGATGTAAGTATACTCAACTCGTGTTCTGGATCCATGTTGACTGATTAGATTTTGGTCAGGCCAGCCAAAGCAGCAGCAGATCTGTATAATGGAGTGGCGTACGTTGTTTCCCGAATGAGCTGGTATTCAAAAGCTGTAGACAAGCTGTTGAGTGACCAGAATATTAAGAACAATACATCGCTGGGAGAGATGAATCACAGTCTCGAGACTGGGATTGTTGATCTCTACGAGTCAATGCTTTTCTATCAAATTAAGAGCGTCTGCTTCTATTACAAAAGTCAACTTCTCGTTCTGCTCCGGGGCTTTCTCGATTTGGATGATTGGAGCGGGAACCTGAATGCTGTCAAAGATGCAGAAAAGGTGCTTCAAAGCGACTTCACCCTCTATAACCAGGAACATATTAAGGATCAGATCAGACAGATAACTATAGCCAGTGAGCACCAGAAAAAATTAGACGAATACCGCAACTGTCTGCAGTCCCTCCGCTGGATTGACCCTCGAGCTGAGATCGGAGATATACAAGCCCGAAATGAGAGCATCATTGAAGAGCTGTATACATGGATTCTTCTGACGGATGAATACAGACAGTTCAGCAAGTGGGATCATATCACACCTGCACGTTTGTGGGTTAGCGGTCAGGCAGGAACTGGAAAGACGATGCTCTTGATCGGCATTATAAAAGATCTGATTTCTCGTGGACTTGTTGATACAGAACGCCCGTTAATTCTATATTTTTTCTGTCAAGCCACGAATGACCAAGCCAACAACGGCGTTGCCGTTCTACGCAGTCTAATATGGCTGTTGCTTCTGGAACAACCACTCCTGATTTCACACATTCAGAAGGAATACTTTCATTCGGCAAGCAGGCTGCTTACGGATAAAAATGCGTTCACAACTCTACGTGACATCCTCAGAAAGATGCTGGAGGATAAATCCTTGAAACGAGCCATCATTATCATTGATGCCATGGATGAATGCGAGGATCAGAGCAGAGAACTACTGACTAAATTTATCGATGATGCGTCCTCGGCAGAAGAGATGTTCAATATAAAGTGGCTCGTCTCCAGCCGGCCACTGCCAGAAATACCAGCAAGTGTGCAGGACCCCACTCTGCCAGCACACAGACTTCTGAAGCTCGATGGACATGACATGTCGCACTCTATCGACAAATATATCGATATCAAGATGGTTCAGCTCAGACATAAGGCACGTAAGAAGAATCGTGTCGAGGAAATAGCTGCTAAATTGAAAGCTGAAGCAAGCAACACTTACATCTGGGTGTCATTGGTCTGCAGAGAGCTCATTAACGCCCATGAATTCATGTGGGCCGAAATTGTCGACAGAATTCCCAAAGATTTGGAAGACCTCTATGGCTACCTGCTCGATAGATTGGCCAATCTAAACTCCAAAATTATGTCATCATGCTGCAGGAATGTCCTCATGGCTGCTATGCTTGCTAGAGATCCCCTGGCTTTGTCCGAGATTGAAATTCTAGCAGAACTTCCAGAAGGCGAGGACACAGCCGAAGCTGTCGTCCAGGAATGTCGGTCTTTTCTGACCATTCGAAACAATACCGTGTACCTGGTCCATCAATCAGCGCAAGATTATCTGCAAAAGCATTATCGAAGACTCTACAATGTCTCTTCGGCCACGCTTCATCACCAAATGTATAAAAGAGCCCTCCATGGTTTGAGAAAGAACTTGAAGCAAAACATATATGGCGTGTCTCATTACGGAATTGCGATAAAAGATGTACAAATCCCCAGTCCAGACCCTTTGAATTGTGTTCGGTATGCATGTCGCTACTGGGTCTATCATCTAGTCCAAAGTGGCTGCACGTCCACAGACATGGAGGATATCCTTTCGTTCTTCAACACACATTTTCTTCACTGGCTAGAGGCAATGAGTTTGCTGGGGCTGTTTCCCGACACTGTGAGGCTTGTTGGTCAATTGAAATCCATTTCAGAAGTAAGCCAGTGGGTATAAGCGAGCCTGTACTTAGACTAATATTCAACCAGACTGAGAACGTTCCTGCACTATTGGACTTTTTAATGGACGCCGAAAGGTTTATCTTGCAGAACCTGCCAATTGCGACCGCAGCGCCTCTTCAGCTCTATGTCTCCTGCCTTATATATTCGCCCGAAAGAAGTATCGTCAGGTGCATGTTCGGAAAGAAAGCCTGCAAATGGATCCTGCGAACAGTTGGCGCTGACATGGAATGGGGCGCACTGCTCCAAACACTTGAGCATTCCCATCGGGTATGCTCTGTTGCATTCTCTACAGATGGACAGCTGGTGGCATCAGGCTCTTCAGATAAAACGGTCAAAGTATGGGACACGCTCACAGGGAATTTACAAAAGATAATTGATCATACAGGTTGGGTTAGAGCTGTGGCGTTTTCACCAGACAACAAGCTACTAGCTTCTGGATTAAGTGATGGTACCATCAGGCTATGGGATACAATCTCATGGCGTGAAACAGGAAGACTCGAGCAATCTGGAGACATCGCTCATCTGATGTTCTCTCTGAATAACCAGCTATTGGGGTCTGCATCATTCGATGGCGTGGTGAAGGTGTGGGAGAAGGGGACGTGGAGACTTAGGTGGGAATGGCGACCTTCGGGCCAAACATCATCGCTCGCACGCACGGCCTTCTCTCTGAATGGTCAGGTATTGGTAGCAGCCACAATACGCGCCCATGCTCCTAAAATAGTAGCTCTGGTGAATATAGAGACCGATACTACAGTGCACGAGCTCGCTCACTTGGGCAGGATCACGAATGTGGCATTTTCCCCAGACAATCGGATGTTGGCCTGTACCTCAGATGATAGGACTATCACACTGTGGGATACTGCGACGTGGAATATCAAGCACACAATTCATGACGAACATGTGCTTGATTTGACTGTCTTTTCCCCGGATAGCAATTTCATCTCTGCAGGTCCATTGCAAAACTCTGTTCAACTGTGGAGTACAAAAAGTGGAACGCTAGAACATACACTAAAGGGTCATGCTGACTATGCTACAACTGTTGCCTTCTCGCCTAACGGCCAGTTGGTGGCATCGGGGTCACATGATAAGACAGTCAAGCTATGGAAAGTGACCCCGGGGAAGGAGGAGTCAAGCCTGGACTATCACTCAGAGCCAATAGAAGGTGTGATACTTTCACCAGATGGTCGGTTGGTGGCAACATACTCTTTGGATTCCACAGTCAAATTATGGGGTGCAGAGAATGGGAAATTGGTGCGAACCCTCAAAGGCCACCACGACGAAGTGACAGCAGCTGCCTTCTCTCCAGGCAGCAAGCTACTCGCCTCCAGTTCATCTGATCGGACAGTCAGAGTATGGGATACCGAGAACGGGCAACAGAAATGGAAATTCGACCATGGTAGTAAAATGCTATGTCTGGTCTATTTCTTTGCGGAAAACCAAGTGCTGGCTACAGATTTCGGGCAAAACACATTTCAAATATGGAACACAGAAACAGGACACCCTGAACAGACTGGTGGCATCTACGATCCTCGCATTCGAAGTATACTTCGCACCAATCCTACAAAACAAGACATGTCTGCCAAGTGCAAGATCTCCGTTGAGGACGACTGGGTTATTCTTAATAATAAGAAAAGTATTTGGTTGCCTCCAGAATACCGAAACAACGTATTTGACGATGCATGGGCAACTCGGGAGAATGCTCTTATAATTGGGGCTCAATCCGGCCGAGTTTACTTCGTTTGGTTGGATCCAGATGCATTGAGAGATGTATGATATGCTGACAGAAACCCATGAGAAAGAATATCCTTCAACTCCCGCAAAACCAGGTTATCTCCACTTGTGGTTATGTTTCCTTTTTTTTTCTCTATTCTGTCTTGATCTCCTGGTCTTTTTCTTTCTTCCGTTTCATGATTCACTCTCGATCAAAATATGTACACATCTGCGGCAGGTCCAAGTGCCGCACAAGGCTTCATTCACGCTGAGCAGCGTGTACAGGCTAGACATGCCGGATTGACTGAAACAAGTTGTGTTGAATAAGTTGTGCTAGATGAGCACGTGTGCCTACTTTCTTCATGCTTTCATAATAGTTAAAAAACACAGAGCAATGCTACAATGTTTTAGAAAATAGACATCATTGTATTTTCTTTCCCCTACCACCATCCCAACCATCTATCGTCTACCACAAACCCACCTCACCCTTCCACCCTCAAACAATCGTAACATTCGTCACCGCTGTCCCCACAACAAACTCATACGAAAGCTACACATTCAGCAAATCATCATCAAAGTCTCCTAACAAATCAATAGGAATCGAACTTACCCCCACCAAATACGGCCTAACAACCCCGATCTGCGCTGGGCCCGTTACATCTGGCACTGTGACAGTGAAGTTCTCATACGGGTAAGGGGGTCCGTTAGACTGTGGATCATAGGGACCGCTGTATAGGAGATTCCCGATAGCAGAGTCGGGGGCGGTGCATCCTGAGCTCCCGGAGCAGGTTTCGATGCCGATGGCGATGCCGATTTCGGCGATATTTTCGGGGAACCCCTATTCCAAGAAGGAAAGCATGAGTGAGGGAGTAAGTATTGTGTAGTCATGGGGTAGATGGGAAGGAATGCAAAGGTGGAGAGTGGGATGGACGTACCGGACGGCCGATCTGCACTGTTATTGTTTCTCCGGCTTTCAGCTCCGTGCCGGCGGCGGGGGACTCGATGTAGATGCCCTGGGCTAGGGCGGTAGCTGTGTAGAGAGCGAGAGAGAGGATGTACTTCATGGTGTATGTGTAGTTATTGCAATTATCGGAAGAAAAATGAAAATCTGTTGTGGATTCGAAAGAAGTTCGTCAAGTAATGACAATAATGAAACTTGACATCGGTCGGGAGAATGGGTATATATATACTTTTTACAGTCGCTGGCACTACAAATAGAATAACTATTGCACAAGAGCTAGACAGGGCACTTCATGTTGTACTACTTGCTTTTTTCAGGCACCTCAGTCAGTCACTATGAATAGGGTCGCGGCATATCGTTGGTAGGGCTCCGCCACGGCTCTGAGACATCAGGCCTCCCATGCGTATTTGCGACCAATAAGAGCGATAGTGTGAATGGCTCTGGGTACACGGCAGTATTTTCAACGTTAGGGATACGTGATATATCTAGAAAAAGTAATAAAAATATTAAATAAGTCGATCTAAGCAAGACTGCGCATACTCTAGTATGTTGGGGTCAAGGTAGGTGACAGGCGGATATATTCCTAGACAGGAGAAAAAGAACGAGGGGTATAAGTTTCGAAAGACCAGCGTGCTTCCATTATCGACACCAAGAAATATTCTACACTATTACAATGAGCTTGATGCAAAGCTTATTTTATGCTAAGTCATATGTCGGGGCTCCTCATATGACCTGGCTTATATGCAAGGCAGCCCAGCCGGGGACCCCAGTAAGCTGACTGGTAAGAGGCTGTCTTGTGCTGTCCTTGGACCCTGGATGCAGGCTGGACAAGATAACACGATGTCTTAAGGTGAGTTTACTTGTCAGTCCCTGCTTGAAGCCCAGCAGGTACTAGCACAGACGAATTGACGCTATTGAGTGCGACATATCCGGGGTATTAGTAGCTCCGTGGCCGACGCATCACCTACTGTGTGTTGGATGGGTCATCTTGAGGAGTACTCTGTATGTTGAGCCTTTTAGCTATTCGGTGTTTATCATGGTCGGCTGACATTCACCATGGCTGATGGTTCACTCATCTATCTATATTTGGAGCATAACATTGCGATCCTTCGAGGTAGTGAGACTAAGCCCGCGGACGCCTAGGTACCGCGACTAGACCATGAGTATAGCACAGTACTAGGTATAAACTTTTCTTTGGTATATTCTAATAATCAACTCATTATTCATTTGTAAAGACAATGTGACACGATTTCATCCATAATATGTTCATGGACGACCGACCGATCGATTGACAGGTACCGGTCTACCTCCCCTACATAGATATTTACTCCGCCTCAGATTCATAAGAATCGCCTTTATAGCTCAGTGGTAGAGCGCTTGACTTGTATCCTTTACGGTTATCAAGAGGTCCGTGGTTCAATCCCGCGTGGAGGCATTTCTTTTTTTTTTTTTCCGCTCGGCCTTGTCTTGGCTCCTATGGCTAACTCTCTCTTCCTTCTACCCTAACCCTCCCTCACACATTGTTACACAGTTAACATCTAGATACTATGGTAATCGCAGCACCTGCAAAATATTCTCAGCCACAAATTCTTCATCAGTGAAGCCCTTGCGTCTGCACTTCAATAATTTCTCCACATAACTGCGACCGGATCACACGGATAATGGATCCGGTCGGTCCGTTCCGTTGAGTCGGGAGATCGGATCCAATGGAACTCTGTGTAAGGGACAACAAGCAAACATTGCATTCATTTTGTTTATCCGAATCATGGTTGCATTATGCTATGCAGCAGGGTAGAGAACACGCGTTCTACTTAGCTCCAAATAGACGCGGTTGTGTTTATTTATTCATGTATACTGACAGTCTTTGCAGTCCTGATCGTGTTGGACCGATCCTACTCGACGCGTTATGTATCACACTGTTCAAGCAAACAAAAATATTCCTCACACAAATTGCCACATTCCAACATCAACCTATCCCTCTAACATTCCATTTCTGCATGTCCTCAAATCCCCAACTCCTTCGCATGACTAGCCTCCCACGGAAACTCCCTCTCCACAGCCCTCACCAACTCCTCATGGCCCTTACTCCTCGGCTTCAGATCCACCTCGAACGGAACAGGATGGCTAATGGTCCCTGAAGAAAACTCGACCCGAATAGGCACTTCCTTACCATCTCGTACCTTCTTTCGAATATCCAGTACCGCCAGTGCCCGTGCCACGGTGAGAAAAATGCTCTTCTCGGCGAGCAAGCGACCGGGACAGATGCGGCGGCCGAATCCGAAGGCGTATAGTCGGGGGTCTGGCTCGGGGGTTGCGCTGAGGAACCGATCAGGGTTGAATGCTTCTGGGTTGTGGTAATTGTTTGGGTCGTGGGTGAAGGCCCTGGTCTTTGTTAGGTATTGGATGAGAGAATAGGAAGGAAGGGGGGATGCGTACCAGACGTTGGGAACGATAATAGCGCCCTTGGGAATAAGATAGCCGTTGAAGATGTCTTCCTCACTAGAGGCGTGGGTTATGCTAAGGGGGGTGACGGGGTGCCATCTGAGCACTTCTTGGAATACGGCGTTGATGTAGGGGAGATTATTCTGGTCGGAGAGGTCGGGCAGTTGGGAGGTTCCTACGACCCGGTCGATTTCTTCTTGCGCCTTCTTCTGGACGGTCGGGTTGAGGGCCATGGCCATGAAGAAGCATGATAAAGCGGAGACAGTCTATGCGTGGTTAGCGGGGATATGGTGATTTTTGGGAGGATCGAGACGCACCGTATCAGCACCACCTCCGTATAAAGCTCCAGCAGAATACTTGACAACGATTTCCTCTTCTGAGCCAGGAAGGACGGTGTCTTTCTCAAGCAGACTGGAGACATACGATGGCTGATGCGTACCTTTTGCCATTTGGTCCTTTACAAAGTCGTATGTCTTGTCGTGCATGATGGCCAGTCTGTCCTTGTATTCCTTGGCTGTCTGGTTTTCCTTTCCTCCGGGAAACCAGGTGGGAAAGTATTTCACTGCGCTGTCAGCATCCAAGTCTCATCGAGGAAGAATGGCAGACTAACGGAAAGGAATAAAGTTAACCAGCCAAGCTCCTGGGAGAACGACTTGAGAGAAGTCGTCCATCGCCTTGTCCACCAGATCAACCAGGGGGTCTCTCGCATGTGGCTCGATGGTATAACCGTATCCGATACGCAGGATGATCGCTCCAGACTCTCTATAGAACGATTAGGCATAACGCAGTTATCTTGCACGCCACAGAACTTACTTGCGAAGATGATCAACCAAGTTATTCGGTGACTGTATGACGCGCAGAAGAAATCGAGTAACTTCTTTATCGACGATCCCATCGAATTTACCTGCTGCGTTGGCAGACCCGAGTTCGCGGTACGTAGCTTTCCGGTAGGCGCGAAACCGGTTGTTGTAGGGGAGAAGACCAAGTGTCTTGTCCCATCCGGATCTTGGTGTGAGAATTAGTCTCTTTTGTTGCTACTTAGGGTAGATTGATTGGTGGAACATACAACTCTGCGATGGGAAGATGAGGTCGGGAGGAGTGTTTTGCAGAGCGCTTTTCCAACATCTCCAGGGCCATGTCGGGATCATTCAGGACAACAAGAGTCTGTCCGAAGACAGTGATGGAGCTGATTGGGCCTGAAGTATAATGTCAGTATAATCAATGATGCCACTTCTAGGAAATGTTCGATGAGGATATACCATATTTCTCCTTATGATCCAACCAATGCTGCCAGTCCTTTGAACCGGGCGGCGGAAGGTCCTTAATATTGCCGATAATGGGCTTTGGAGGAGGCCCCGGGGGCAGTGGTGCAGATGTCTTCTTAGGTCCAAGAAAGACATAGAGAAAGTAGATGGACGCAAGTCCGACCAGAAGGCTAACTATGGACAACATGGTTGCAGTCCAAAGCTATGAAAGCCGGTGAGGAGGGATAGAAAAGAATTACGATGTGGGAGAAGGATTGAGAACATGTGTCTGCAGCGATGGCTGAAGCTGGAGGCAAAGCAGGGCAATTGGGCGGGGAAATCGGGGACACCAGCAGCTAGTAGCTCCTGCTGCTGCATATTCCAACACAATTCTGCAGAAAGGGATTGGATGAAAG